GCGAACGCGAACAATGCATGGATGATAATTTATATCAATCGATGTTGGCTCGAGAGTCGTGATCGATGGGCTACTTACGAGTATTGTTCCTCGTCGTCAGACATGTTGGCGGCTGTTTAAAGCGCTGCAACACAAAAACGAGACGTTGAATATACCAGATTGATTTGCAAAGTCAACGGCGGAAGAGAGAAAGAAAGAGGGAAAGGTTTTTTAACCGCAGAGCGATTAAAAAAAACGATATATGTTTTCACGTTGAGAATCGCTAATTAGATCACACTGGTCGATGGAAGTTGCGGCACGTCACGCGATTCTCGCGAGAAAAGATTTGCGTCATTCAGATTATGAGTGCTTTCCGTTTGGTGACACAAGTCGACATAAGTATTCTTCTATCTTTCTTGGCATTCAGTGAGTAACATAGATAGAACGACACTTGTATTGACTTATGTTACCAAATGGAAAGCACTCTCATCGCGTAGTACAACACTTATAACAATTCTTGAGTAAAATCGTCGTAAAGTGAAATCTGACGTTTAACACGGCTCGTCACAGTTCTTGTAACTCAACTATGCGTGTAACTTGGTACCGGTACCGTCTCGACGATAAGCACGTCACGATCGATTCCGCGTTGAACGATCTCAATCAGGTCACTTGTTAACGTCGCGATAGATTAAAAAAATAATGAGGATCGAAGGATAGAAAATTGGAAATCTCACCGGTTACAGATTACGTGGAGGAAGAAGAGGTCGGAAGGACCAGACGAGAGAGGAAGGCAACACAAGGGTGGCAGCGGGGCGAAAGTGGTGCCGGAGAAAGAGGCACGAGGGGGCGATGTAGAAAAATGCTTGCGCTTGGTCGAACCTTGCGTGGAAAAGGGGTACCCGGAGGAAAGCCGAAGCTGAATGGGCCGGACGGCGCGCACCGACGTTCCCGAAGTAATCCGATACTTCGAGGCGAGAAAGAGAAAATGCCAGTTTGCTAACCCTGGTCGCAAGCTCAAGCTCTATAAGGAGCCGTCCCCTTCTCTGCAATGTCGCTCTAATTTTAGTGGTTTACAACACGCTCGTTCCCTCGTTCCGCTCGCCTTTCCTCGTCGTTTCTCCTGCCGTTTCTTTACGTGGACGGAGAACGTCGAAATTCGCGGAGTTCGTAACACTAGACAACCTACGTCTATATGGAATCGTCGGGGAAGCGAAACGTGGGTTGCTTTCCAGCGAGAGACACAGACGGACATTCTCGTGAACATTCTCGTTGTTTGCCAACGTTAAACAAGGACGAAATGATTCACTGTGTTGTACTGTGTTCTTGCTACAAGGAAGAAGCCTTGTGTTAAATTGTGTGATCAGACCAGAGAGAGATTGAGATTGAGATTGAATTGGAATTTAACCAATCAAAACAAAGTTTACCAAACTTGAGATTGGCTTTCTTCCTTCTGTTTGATTAAATTCCAACCCAATCTCAGTCTCTAGTCTGATCATGGCTTTGTATACTGTCTCTTGCTCGAAAGAGCAACCTTCTTCGCAAAAACATTCGCGATATATCCGTCGGATTTTCGAATCGTCGGAATATTTCTATACAGCATACGGATCTTTAAGGAACGTTTTGGAGACATCCAGAGGACGTTCTACGTCTTAACCCGTAATTAGATTAAAGCTTGAGATTGAGAATTAAATTCGATTGGAATCAAAGTAAAGTTCACTCAAGATTTCTTTCTCAAGCTTTCTTTCTTCTGATTGGTTAAATCCAATCCAATTTCAAGCTTAATCTGTAGTCTGATCACTGCTTCAAGAATGTTCCCAAGATGTCTATGGATAAATATGCTGTGGGACGATTGCATCCACTTTTTTTAACTTATTTTATTTGTTATATATATAACTTATTTAACTTATTTTAACTTATTTTATTTTAATTGATTTTGTAATTTAATTTAACTCGCCATTGTGTTATTTGTCGCGATCTAAAATAGATCGAATTCAAGATCATTCAACATAAAATTGTTTATTCTCAGCCGACGAGAAGCAACATTCGCCTTTTAGCTCACACTATCGTCCGATATATCATAAATTTTGCGATTTTATGAGCTCTATTTTAAACACGATTTTAACTCGGAACTTCAATAACGCGAAATACTTAATAATAAGAAAAATATTATAAAGAAAATAAGATAAAGAAAGAAAATGAAGATATAAAGAAATAGAATTCAAGAAGGGTCTCTCGGATCACACGGATGAATCCGCAGATAAATAGTTGCTGAGATCATTAATTTACGTCGTAAAAGATACCAAGCAAAGTAACAGAAGCACCACGTGATCTTACATATCAATTAACTTTTTCCACGTAACCATTCACTTGCACGTCTGCCGCAGCAAAGTTCAAAAATTTTCCACTGATGCGTCAATTCTTTCCACTGAACGAGTATAGTAACTGCCCCAATTACTGTGCCTCTCCCTATTAGTGTGCTTTCGTATTTCGATAAGTTATAAAGAGAACTGTCACAAATAAATAAGAAAAAATATTTTTTTTTTTTGTGTTAAGTTACATTATTAACGCATCGAAGATAATATTTTATTTTTTAAATATTAAAGTATTTCAAATATTTTTCGAAAGAGAGATATGAGGAATTTATGTGAATCCAATAATACGTATCGCAAGATTTTAAGCCTGTCCCTATTAATGTGCCTTGTATTGGAGCTGATAACGTTGTGTTACGAGTGTACTTTGAAATAAATATAATTGAAATAATGATTTATGTAACATTAACGTAAACAATTAACTTAAATTTATTATCTGTTTTAAAATGAGTCAAATGTGGATAGGCACACAAATTGGGGGCGCATTAATAGGATCGCCGCCACTTAGAGGACTCACTAATAGGGATAAAAACATGTTTTCTATTTTTGTCAAAAGCATTATAAAGTATTTAACATTTTTTAGATTAAAGAAATATTATGAGAAAAAGAAGTAGTTAGAGAAAAACCGACAATTGATTGCAAACAGATAAAATTAAAGCTACAACATTTAATAATTAATTCAGTAATAAGCAAGTTGGCTAAAAGGCACATTAATAGGGACAAGTTACCGTAGATAGAGTCGCGCTTCGTGTGGACACACGGCTACGTATTCGCGAGATTCCCACTGGCCGAGCGATCTGCTGCCGAAGAATATACCGTTCACTATTCATTTTCAAAGTTCCTAGCATTAAAAATGAAAGATCCTTTTATCGAGTAATTTCACACAGTCTATTGATTCTCCTTTGAGTCCTCGAAAAACTCTGCTAAAACATTTGCCAGGAAATGATTTCGCTGTGAGCAATCGCGAGTTTCTCGGCAATATAAACATCGCTGATGCGAAGGCGAATTTTCGCTAGGAAGATTTCTCGAGTCAATTACTTCGTGTCGTACCACGTCGTTTTCACATTCACAGCGATCACACCGCGGGAAAGAACGTAGACGCGCGATTCATCGCGAACGTTCCTCCAGAGGATTAATAAGAGATTTAATAAGAGAGCGCGAGGGTGTTCGACAGAGATGGCGAAAGAAGAAAAAGGAAAAAAAAAAGAAAGAGAAGGGAAAAAAAAAAGAGAGAAAAAATCGAGACTATCAAATACAGAATGAAAAAAATGTTGAACTTACACTCGGGGTGGTGTCAATGCGTGTGGACGAGTGCTTGCGCGCGCGTGTACGTGTGTGCGTGCGCGAGCGCGTGTACGTGGAGACGTATATGCGTGCGTGTAGATGGGTTTTTTTCACGGGGGTAACCCAGCTGGGTGAAACCGCGAGGGAGAAAAGAAAGAGAGGGTGAAACCAGGGTCCCGCACACTCCGCGGGAGGACGCTAGAGAAAGAGAGAGAGAGAGAGAAAAAGAGAAAGAGAGAGAGAGAGAGAGAGAGAGACACGCACACGCACAGGAGGAGCTTGTCCCGGTGGAATGTGGAGTCCGCGACAGCCTGAGCCGCTCTGAAGTCCGCGAAGTCATCACGGCCGGACATCAGCGGGACTCCGGGCGTCGTGCCCGCTCCGCTTTAGAGCCTCTCATTTCTTCTCTTGCCCTTCTTTCTCTCTTTCACACTCCCTTTTGTTCTATTAATAGAAACGGTGGTCCGCGCGTACACACACGCGGACTACCGGGAGTGATACGATCCTGGTTGATACTATTTTCGTGCCTTTCGCCGGCGAGTCGCACGCTGCGCTTCCAACTCAGCTCCTGCGGCGGCGACTCCGGGCTCTCTTCCGCCGGGCAGATTCGACGGACGATTGCTCCAAAGTAGGCCTGTTACGATATCACGCCTCCACTTTCCGATAGTTGTTGACAATGATGAACCGGCTGGTCCGCGAGTTCCGTCAGATCAATTAAAAATCTGCTCGATTACCGATAAAAGCTTTTAAAATGAAAATGATATTTCTCTTCGCTACGCGTATGATTGCACAAGTAATTGCAATTTATTTTTAGTTCTAATATATATTTATCTATTACAACACTTCAATTTCTTAATCAATATAATTTTTAGAATGTAATCTCTGTAGTAGGGTCGATTTACGGTAAATGATTCGTTAAGAGTTTTTTTTTTTCTTAAGATATATTTCATGACGATTTATTTCGCATTAATAAAGTTGAAAAGTTTCTTAAATTTATGAAAAAATATTTTTTTGCAATTGCCTTCCAATATATTTATAATACATCCAAGAGAGAACATGCAGTGGCACGTTCTGAATCTAAATAAAAAAGGTGGTAGTTTGAGTAACAAAATAGAAGCTACGATGAACGAAAGTGGATTGTTTGAGGTCTTATTGAAGGTGTTATGGACATCCTAAATCGAGTAAGAAAGAAGAGTCTTATCATTCTTATCAATATCATCGTTATTGTCGTTGGTATCGGAAGCTTAAGTT